TTTGTCAAGACAAGCCCATGAGCACCTGATCTAGCTGGAGCTGTCTGAGACAGGGCTTGGCTGAGAGACCAGCTGTGGCAAGAGCTATGGGACTTGGTGCGTAATGAGTGTCAGTAGGAAACTGGTTTCCTTTTTATTAATAATGGTGGTAAAGTTGGGTATCACTGGTGTTTCCTCTTCCAGGACTTTTCCAGCCCAGCCCAGCTCTCCCCACCTGCCCTGGCCCTAGGGCAGTGCCCACCACAGGGTGCTGTAGCACTCTGGGCACTCAACCATAGCTCCAGCTCCTCGGAAGGGCAAAGCAGCTCCTGGAGGTCAGACAGGGGGGTCAGATTTCCCACAAGCACCAGGGCTGATGCTGGCCAAAAGGGCAGGAGGAAGCAGAGGCCAGTCAGTCTCTAGCTCTGCTGCATTCATCTGGTAGGTTGTCTCTAACCTCGACTGCATTTACACCCTTCCCTTCCCCCACCAGCCCTGCTCCCCAGCACAGCACAAGAGTCCTGGGCCTGGGCCTCCTCAGGCAGCTCCTGCACTTCTCCAGTCTCCCCTTCCCATGCCCACTGGGTTCACACTGACCCCCAGGGCACTGCAGAGTCCTTGCTTGCATGTACCTTGATTTAGTGCTTTGCTTTTGGGGGACGTCAACTTCAAGGGTGTTTCACTCTGTGTGTGTCCATTCATTCCCACCCCAGGGCATGTGGTGACTCATCATCCTCTCCTGACCAAATTAATTTCCATAAAGACAGCTATATGCCATGAGTCCTGGCATAGGTAAATGTCGTGGTTTGAGCCTGGTCAGCAACCAACCACCGCCCTCCCTTCCCCCTCCCCACATGGGAATGGGGGAAGGAATTAGAGGGGTGAAGGGAGACTCGCAGGCTGAGATAGGAACAGTTTAATAATGGCAATAAAATGAGAACAATGATGATAAAAGGAAAAAAAGGAAATACATAAACAGGCACACATAAATTGCTCACCACCCGCTAACCAATATCCAGCCTGTTCCTGGCTAGCGACCCCAAGATACCAAGATACCACAATCGCAATCCCAGAAGCGAGAGAGCGAGCTCCTTCCCAACCACCCCTCCTCTACATAGTGACCATGACGTGCCATGATATGGAATATTTCATTGGCCAGTTTGGGTCTGGTGCTCGGGCCGTGCTCCCTCCCTGCTCCCTGTGCCCTTGCGCACGGGCAGAACATGAGGAGTCGGAGAGTCCTTGAAATCTCAGCAGCAGCTGAAAACATCAGTGTGCTATCAGTATTCTTCTCATACCAAACCCAAAGCTAAATCCAAAACACAGCACTCATCTAGTCCCTGAAAAGGAATATTAATTCTATTTCAGCCCAAGCCAGGACAGTATCCACCCCTTATTCCATATCATTTACGTTATGCTCAAGTTCCATATTACCCAGTACAGTCTAATTGATCGTTGTCCTTTCTCCTGGGTTTTAGGCATGTGCACACAGACATCATTCCCTCAGTCACTGGACCACCACTGCCGAATGTATCATAAGTTCATTTGGTTCATAACTTTGATTTCCATCTGTCATAATAGTCTTTTAAGGCAGGAAGGGTGATGCTTGGTCAGTAGGGCACAGGTGATTAGGTGACCTTGCAGAAGGAAGGCATGCAGTCCCTGTTACAGTTGGAGCTGGTGGCTGATGCATCTGATGCTGTCTGTATTCACAGTCTATGGAAGTTGCTGGGCATCAGTTGCTGAAGCCAACCCTGACTTTATTTGAGTTCATGTGTTCCTTCATGAATGTGATGACATTATATAATATGTGTCAATCATAGCGATGCACTGATAGGGTTGTTTGGTGATTGACCTAATACAGTTCAATTTATTGGCTATTTTCACCTAACATTAAGTCCCCTTGAGGCACACATCGGACTTCCCCATCCTTCTGCATTACAAACCAAGTGCACCCGGGTCCTTGTGCAAAGGTAATTCCCACATATGGGCTTACCTTTACCTGAAGTGGGAATAACCCAGACAGTCTTCCCCAGCATGTTGTTAAGGTGCACTACTGGGATTTTATCTCCATCTACAGTACGCAGAAGGTTGGACTGGGCAGGGCCAGCCTGGTTGGCAGATCCTCTTCTATTGACTAACCAGGTGGCCTTTGCTAAATGTGTGTCCCGGTGTTTAAAAGTTCCACCTCCCATTGCTCTCAGCATGGTCTTTAGTAGCCCATTGTACCGCTCAATTTTCCCAGAGGCTGGCGCATGATAGGGAATGTGATATACCCACTCAATGCCATGTTCTTTTTTCCCAGGTGTTAATGAGATTATTTCCAAAGTGAGTGCCATTATCTGACTCAATTCTTTCTGGGGTACCATGTCGCCACAGGACTTGTTTTTCAAGGCCCAGAATAGTGGCCTTTCCAAACAGAACCCCTGCACATCACCCACAGCAACCTTGTGGAAAACATAGGCATGATTTGTGTCAAGATAGAGTATGGTGTGATAAGTGTAATTGTTGTACTCTATGTGGATCTGAAATGATTTGTGATCACTATAACCTGTATAATAATTGTGGTGAATGTTGGAATCAAATGGAGACTGTGTAGGAATATAGAGTGTGCTTCTGGCTTGGAACAATGTAACCGCCTTTTAGAAACACTCCCTAGGGCAAATGTAAACTCTCCTTAGAAAACCTTCCCCTAGAGCTGATGCAATAGCTGCTTAGAAAAGGCCCACGGAAAGATGAGACCCCGGGACTTTCAAAAGACCCAATAGGAGGAAAGCACGCCAAGAGGTGGAAACCTTCAAACCTTCAAAAGATCCAATGAGAGGAGGAAACTACTCCAACAGTTCAAATGACCCAATGGAAGAAGTGCAGGACGACTATCTGATGGAAAGGGATTGGTCGAGACGCTGGTGAAAGAGTATAAAAGACATTGCTTTTAGAACTGAGTGTGCATTGTGGCAGAGTTGAGGCTCTCCACGCACCCAGCGCGGCTTTGCCTATTGCTTCTCACCCTGAATTGATTGAACCCAAATAAAATTATATGCTTTTTATAAAGATTGGCTTCATTCATTTGTATCAGCGGGACTTCCTGTGTGCCAGAGTGGGGCTTCCTGTTTCAGCAGGCTTGGGGGGGTGGGACTTCCTGGTACTGAGTCTGTCTGGGTGGGACTTCCTGGGGCTATAGTGGGGCGGGATTCTCCATTCACAGGGCTTGGGGGAGGAACTTCCTGTTTGGCCTGGAAATAGGGGCGGGGCTTCCTGTTATGCCTGTGGAAGGGGGTGGGTCTTCCTGTTCCGCTTGGGAGAAGGGGCGGTACTCCCCATTCTGCCTGGAGATGGGGGCGGGGCTTCCTGTCATGCCTGGACAGGGAGGTGGGGCTTCCCATTCCCTGGCAGGGCGGGGTGTGGGGGTGTGGTGTGTGGCTCCGCCCCCTGAGGGGTGTGTCCTGGCACAGGCAGGAGGCGGGGGTGGAGCTGTCGGGAATGGCCATGGCCGAGATGTCCCTGCTCAGCGGCTTCAGGCCCCATCGGCTCGACCTCGGACATGGTACGGGCGGGGGGGGTTGGGGTGTGGGGGGTTGGGGTGTTCGAGGGTGTTGGGAGTTGGGGGGTGTTGGGGGTGTTGAGGTGTGTTGGGGGGTTGGTGTTTGTTGGGGTTTCTTGGGGTGCGTTGGGGAGTGTTGGGGTGTTGGGGGTGTTGGGGGTTTTGGGGAGTGTTGGGAGTTTTGGGGTGTTGGGGGTGTTGGGGGTGCTAGGGGGTGTTGGGGGTGTTGGGGGTGTTGGAGTGTTCAGGGGTGTTGAGGGTGTTGGGGGTGTTAGGGGGTGTTGGGGGTGTTGGAGTGTTCAGGGGTGTTGAGGGTGTTGGGGTGTTGGGGGTGTTGGGGGATGTGGTGGTGTTGGAGTGTTGGGGGGTGTTGTGGGGGGGGTGTTGGGGTGTAGGGGTGTTGGGGGTTCTTGGGAGGTGTTGGGGTGTTGGGGGTGTTGGGGGTGTTGGGGGTGTTGGGGGGCTGAGGTTTGTTGGGGTTTCTTGGGGTTTCTTGGGGGGTGTTGGGGAGTGTTAGAGTGTTGGGGGTGTTGGGGGTTGGGGTTTCTTGGGGTTTGTTGGGGGGTGTTGGGTGTTATTGGGGTATTAGGGGGTGTCTGGGTTGTTGGGGGTACTGGGGGTGTTGAGGGGGTTTGGGGATTTTGGGGTGCTGGGGGGGTGTTGGGGTCTTGGGGTGTTGGGGGTGTTCAGGGGTGTTGAGGGTGTTGGGGTGTTGGGGTGCGGGGGGTGTCAGGTGTTGGAGTGTCGGGGTGTCAGGGTGCGAGGGCACAGGGGGTGTCAGGCATCGGGGTGCACTGTTGGAGTGTCACCATGTTCCCCCCCGGCTGCGGGACGTGGTCGATCGCTGGATCAGCCACTACGAGCTCAGCAGGACGCGGCTGGTCATCTACCTTGACGAGGTGGGGCACCCCCAGCCCCTGTCCCCTCTGTCCCCCTGTGTCCCCCCGTGTCCCCCCCCGTGTCCACCCCCCTGTGTCCCCCCACATCCCCTGTGTCCCCCCAGGTCCCCACGCGGCGCCAGTGCATCAGCTTCGGGGCCACCCAGGAGGTGGTCCTGGGGCAGATCCAGCCGGCCATGGCGGCTATCTACGACTACTATGAGCTGGGTGGGTGTGGCCAGAAAGGGGTGGGCGTGGCCATATTGAATTGGCGTGGCCAGAATGGGTGGGCGTGACCAGAAGGATGAGGTGTATTTGTGGGTGGGCTCTGGGTGGGGGGCAGAGCTCTGCTGTGGGTGGAGCACTAGTGGGTGGGTCCTGGGGCAGGGTGGGGACATGTCTCCCCACTGACTCCATCCCCTCCAGCTCAGCACTGCACTGTGTCCTACAGCGACCCCCACAGGAGCAGTGTGCCACCCACCCTCTGCTCCTCCCAGCTCTACCTCTGTGCCCAAGGTGGGACCACGGCAGGGGGGACCCCGAAATCTGGGGGGACACCCCGATATCTTGTTGGGGGGAGAATTGGGGGGGGTGCAGGGGTTTCAGCCTGCGATGCACCTCCCCGCCCCTCCAGGCGTGTGCCCCCGCCTCTGGCGGGCATTGCCGGCCCTGATGCTGGGCGATCACCTGGACTTTGCCTGCTACAGCCCCCACATCAACTATGGTGACCCTTGACCCCGACCTTGACCCCTGACCCCAGCGCCCCAGTAACCCCTTTGACCCCAGCGAAGCCTGACCCCTGACCCTCATGACTCCTCCAAACCTCAGGAGCCTCCTTGACCCTCCAACCTCTGTGACCCACTGTCCTGGTTCAGGCTGGACGAGAGTTCCTGTTCGTTTTAGTAGCGGGAGGAGCTGCAGCCCCCTGAGACCCCAGGGGCTCCCCAGGCCCCAGTGCCCTCACCTGTGTGCGGGGGTGGGGGGAGCACAGCTGGAGGGCTGGGCCGGGATTGGCCGATAGTCCATGTCACGTGACATTATGCTCACCATATAAAGGCAGGAGAGGGCTGGGAGAGGGGCCACTTCTGGGAGTGGGGCTGTGGGGCCTGTGTGTTTGGGATTGCTGGCTGGGAGCAGGCGGGTGTGGGTCGGCGGGTGGTGAGCAGCTGTATTGTACATTACCTGCTGATACTGCTGTCAGTGTATTATTCTGTTACTATTATTAAACTGTTTTTTATCTCAACCCACGAGTCTCCCTTTGCCCCTCCGATTCCCTCCCCATTCCCAAGTGGGGGGAGGGTGGGTGAGCGGCTGTGTGGCGTTTAGCTGCTGAGTAGGCTCAAACCACAACAGTCCTTTTTGGCGCCCAACGTGGGGCACGAAGGGTTGAGATAATAACAGATTTGATCTGTGGGTACTATCAAGTTTGTTATAATGCCGACTGCCCATCCTGTTATAATGTCATTTGCTTGGCTCCTAAAATCGTGGGATTTGTTGCTGCAGTTGTGTTATACATCACATTACTTAACATATGTAGTCCCCATGTCGTTGCTTATTACCCGTGGGAATTGGATTAAGATTTTTGCCTTGCTGTATTATGTAACTCTAATTTATGGCATGATAAAATCTTCGGTCCTGGGAGTTATGGGGCACCTACTGGAGTGGGTTAGTAACTATACCCTCCACCTTTTCTCCTCAGAAAGCCCACCCAAGGGGGAGATACCTTTTTCCATCTTCCCCTTCTCCAAGCTACTTGCAAGTATACTTGAGAATGCTGAGAACTCTGAATATCCATGGAATGCTCATATTAATGTTGTTGTCTTGTTTCTGGAAGCTGTAGTGTTCCTGACTGTGGTTCAGGTTCTGTTTCGGGTTAAGCAACTGTTTCTGAATACCAACCAGAGGTCTACCCCAGGGTTGCAGAGTTATGAGTGGTTGGGAGTGTGGGGTAGCATGGGCAAGTACCTAGGACAGTGGGGACCTCCAATGTTTTGGAATTTCACCCCTGAACAAGTGCGGGATCCTGAGAAATTAGTAAAATATTCAGAAAAGGTGTGCTGTCATCCTGACACCTCAAGAGAGACGTAGATCATTGCAACATGCTGGGGCCTGGCCCGTGGCTACCGAACCCTGCTTGCCACCATGCAGTACCCTCAAAAGGAAGACGTCTCTGCATCTGCGAGCAAAACAACCGGCACTGCAACCACTCTGACACCCCCACCAGGCACTGCAGCCACTCTAACTCAGGCGACCGACGCTGCAGCCAATCCGACCCCTACGATAAGTACTGCGCGTGAACTGGAGCATCATTCCACAACAGTATCAGTTGCTCCCATACAGAAGAAGAAATACACTAAAAAATCCCCTCGCATTATAAAAGATGATGATGAACCAGGGCCCTCACAAGAACAGGAGGAGGAGGCAGAGCCAGTGGTAATCACCCGATCTCTATCCCTGAGTGAACTACGAGACATGAGAAAGGATTTCAGCTGCCATCCAGGCGAACACCTCCTTACCTGGCTGCTCCGATGCTGGGATAGCGGGGCCAACAGTGTGGAATTAGAAGGTAGAGAAGCCAGGCAACTGGGATCCCTGTCCAGGGATGCAGGCATTGACAAGATTATTGGAAGAAAGACACAAACGCTCAGCCTTTGGAGATGACTACTGTCAGGTGTGAGGGACAGATATCCCTTCAAAGAAGATCTTACATGTCATCTAAGTAAGTGGACTGCCATGGAGAGAGGTATCCAATACCTGAGGGAACTGGCTGTGCGGGAGATGGTTTATTATGATCCAGACGATGCGCGGCTACCCACAGACCCAGATGGAGTCCAATGCAGCCGGCCCATGTGGCAGAAGTTTATACGGAGTGCTCCATCTTCACATTCGAATGCACTAGCAGTATTTGACTGGAGAGACGAAGAGGGACCAGCTACGGATGACTTGGCTCGCCGACTCCGGCACTACGAAGAAAGTCTCTCTTCTTCCATCGTCGCGGCTGTGGAGGAACTGTCACAAGAAGTCCGACAACTCAAAGAGGACATGTCCTACTCTCCACCTCCACAGACTAAGGTCTCAGCTATCAGGAGCAAACGACTCCCTACTCAAGCGAGACGGTATACACCACGGGGGAACCTATGGTATTACCTGCGTGACCATGGAGAAGATATGAGGAAATGGGACGGGAAACCCACCTACGTTCTAAGAGAGCTGGTCCGAGAGTTGGAAGGAAGAATGGCTACAAATCAAGGTTCTTCCAGGATAAGTGCTGCTCCAGTCTCAGCTAATCAGTTACCCAAACAGCGTAGAAGAATTGACTTTGCTCCTGATCCTATGAGGAGAACTTCTGAGTCGTACTTACAAGAAGTGAGTAACCAGGATGAGACCAAGGTTCGCACAGACTGCACTAACCCCTTCATCAACAATGGATACTATGAGCAGCATTAGAGAGGCCCTGCCTCCAGCCAGGTGGAGGAGAGGGACAATCGTGTTTACTGGACTGTGTGGATTCGATGGCCTGGCACATCGGATCCCCAGGAGTATAAGGCTTTGGTAGACGCTGGTGCCCAGTGCACCCTGATGCCGTCGAATTTCCAAGGGACAGAGGCTATCTGTATCTCAGGAGTGACAGGAGGTTCTCAACAGCTGACTGTGTTGGAGGCTGAGGTGAGCCTAACTGGAAATGAGTGGCAAAAGCAACCTGCTGTAACTGGCCCGGAAGCTCCCTGTATTCTTGGAATAGATTATCTCCGGAGAGGGTATTTTAAGGACCCAAAAGGGTACCGGTGGGCTTTTGGTATAGCTGCCTTGGAGACAGAAGAAATTAAACAGCTGTCCACTCTGCCAGGGCTCTCAGAGGATCCTTCTGCTGTGGGACTGCTGAAGGTTGAAGAGCAACAGGTGCCGATCGCTACCACGACTGTGCACTGACGGCAATATTGCACCAACAGAGACTCTGTAGTTCCCATCCACCAACTGATTCGTCAACTCGAGAGCCAAGGGGTGATCAGCAAGACTCGCTCACCCTTCAACAGCCCCATATGGCCAGTGCAGAAGTCTAATGGAGAGTGGAGACTGACAGTGGACTATCGGGGCCTGAATGAAGTCACACCACCATTAAGTGCTGCTGTGCCAGACATGCTGCAGCTTCAGTATGAATTGGAGTCAAAGGCAGCCGAGTGGTACGCCACAACTGATATCGCCAATGCCTTTTTCTCCATCCCTCTGGCAGCAGAATGCAGGCCACAGTTTGCTTTCACCTGGAGGGGTGTCCAATACACCTGGAACAGACTGCCCCAGGGGTGGAAACACAGTCCCACTATTTGCCATGGACTGATCCACACTGCACTGGAACAGGGTGAAGCTCCAGAACATTTACAATACATTGATGACATCATTATATGGGGGAATACAGCAGAAGAGGTTTTTGAGATGGGAGAGAAAATAGTTAAAATTCTTTTGAGAGCTGGCTTCGCCATAAAACGAGGTAAAGTCAAGGGCCCTGCACAGGAGATTCAGTTTTTAGGAATCAAATGGCAAGATGGACGTCGTCAGATTCCAATGGATGTGATTAATAAAATAACAGCTATGTCTCCACCAACCAGCAGAAAGGAAGTACAAGCTTTCTTAGGTGTGATAGGCTTCTGGAGAATGCATATTCCAAATTACAGTCAGATTGTAAGCCCTCTTTATCAAGTGACCCGAAAGAAAAATTACTTTTTATGGGGCCCTGAACAAAAGCAAGCTTTTGAACAAATTAAACAAGAAATCGTCATGCTGTAGCCCTTGGGCCAGTTCGGGCAGGACATGATGTTAAAAATGTGCTCTACACTGCAGCCGGGGAGAATGGCCCTACCTGGAGTCTTTGGCAGAGGGCACCAGGCGAGACTCGGGGTCGACCCCTGGGATTCTGGAGTCGAGGATATAGAGGATCTGAAGCCCGTTATACTCCAACTGAAAAAGAGATACTGACAGCATATGAAGGGGTTCGAGCTGCTTCAGAAGTGATTGGTACAGAAGCACAGCTCCTCTTGGCACCCCGACTGCCGGTACTGGGCTGGATGTTCAAAGGGAGGGTCCCCTCGACACATCATGCAACTGATGCTACGTGGAGTAAGTGGGTCGCGCTCATCACACAACGGGCTCGAATAGGAAGCGCCAACTGCCCAGGAATACTAGAAGTAATTACAAATTGGCCAGAGACCAAAGACTTTGGAATGTCACCAGAGGAAGAAGTGACCCGAGCTGAAGAGGCACCGCCATATAATGAGCTACCGGATAATGAGAAGCAATATGCCTTATTTACCGATGGGTCCTGCCGCATTGTAGGGAAACATCGGAAGTGGAAGGATGCTGTATGGAGCCCCACACATCAGGTCGCAGAAGCTGTTGAAGGAGAGGGTGAATCCAGTCAATTTGCAGAAGTGAAAGCCATCCAGCTGGCCTTAAGTATCGCCGAGCAAGAAAAATGGCCAGTCCTTTATCTCTACACTGATTCATGGATGGTGGCAAATGCCCTGTGGGGGTGGTTGCGACAGTGGAAACAGAGTGGCTGGCAGCATAGAGGCAAACCCATCTGGGCTGCTGATTTGTGGCAAGATATTGCTGCTCGAATAGAGAACTTGGTTGTGAAAGTACGCCACGTAGATGCTCATATACCCAAAAATCAAGCAACGGAAGAACATCAAAACAACCACCAGGTGGACCAGGCTGCAAAGATTAAGGTGGCCCAAGTAGATCTGGACTGGCAGCATAAGGGCGAAAAATTTATGGCTCGTTGGGCCCATGACTCCTCGGGCCATCAAGGAAGAGACGCAACATATAGATGGGCTCGTGACCGAGGGGTGGACCTAACTATGGACATTATATCACAGGTTATCCATGAATGTGAGACATGTGCTGCAATCAGGCAGGCCAAGCGGTTAAAACCTCTTTGGTATGGAGGGAGATGGTTAAAGTATAGATATGGGGAGGCCTGGCAGATTGATTACATCACGCTCCCACAAACTCGGCATGGTAAAGTGTTATGTGCTCACAATGGTAGAAGCAACTACCGGATGGCTGGAAACATATGCTGTGCCCCATGCCACTGCTCGGAACACTATTCTGGGCCTTGAAAAACAAGTCCTGTGGCGGCATGGCACCCCAGATAGAATTGAGTCAGATAATGGTACTCATTTTCGAAATAATCTTATAAACACCTGGGCAAAAGAACATGGCATTGAGTGGATATATCATATCCCCTGTCATGCCCCGGCCTCCGGGAAAATTGAGCGGTATAATGGGTTACTAAAGACCATGCTGAGAGCAATGGGAGGCGGAACTTTTAAGCATTGGGACACACATTTAACAAAGGCCACCTGGTTAGTCAATACAAGAGGATCTGCCAACCAGGCTGGCCCTGCCCAGTCAAACATTCTGCATATTGTAGATGGAGACAGAGTCCCGGTAGTGCACCCTAAAAACATGCTGGGGAAGACCGTCTGGGTTATACCTCCTTCAGGTAAAGGTAAGCCCATCCGTGGGATTACCTTTGCCCAAGGACCCGGGTGCACTTGGTGGGTAATGCAGAAGGACGGGGAAGTCTGATGTGTACCTCAAGGGGACTTAATGTTAGGTGAAAATAGCCAATAAGCTGTATTAGATTAGTAACCACACCACCCTACCAATGCTTTGTTATGGCAAACATGAACGTGGATGAAAATAGGACTGGTTCCAGCAACTGATGCCCAGCGACAGCCGCAGACTGTGAATACAGACAGCATCAGATGCATCAGCTCCAGCTGCAACAGAGACTGCATGCCATCCTCCTGTCAAGTCCAAGGACACCTCTGCCCTACGGACTGAGCATCGCTCCTCCTGCCTGAAGGGACTGTTATGACAGATGGAACCTGAAGCTATGGACCAAGTCAACTCATGATACATCCTGCAGTGATGGACCATGGACTGAGGGAATGACATCTGTATGCGTATGTCTTTGACCAAGGAAGAGGATTGTAAATAACAATAATGTATTAGAAATATGGAACATGAGCATAATGTAAAATGATATGGAATAAGGGGTGGATACTGTCCTGGTTGGGGCTGGACTAGAGTTCCTGTTCGTTTTAGCAGCGGGAGGAGCTGCAGCCCCCTGAGACCCCAGGGGCTCCCCAGGCCCCAGTGCCCTCACCTGTGTGCGGGGGCGGGGGGAGCACAGCTGGAGGGCTGGGCCGGGATTGGCCGATAGTCCATGTCACGTGACATTATGCTCACCATATAAAGGCAGGAGAGGGCTGGGAGAGGGGCCACTTCTGGGAGTGGGGCTGTGGGGCCTGTGTGTTTGGGATTGCTGGCTGGGAGCAGGCGGGTGTGGGTCGGCGGGTGGTGAGCAGCTGTATTGTACATTACCCGCTGATACTGCTGTCAGGGTATTATTCTGTTACTATTATTAAACTGTTTTTATCTCAACCCGTGAGTCTCCCTTTGCCCCTCCGATTCCCTCCCCATTCCCAAGTGGGGGGAGGGTGGGTGAGCGGCTGTGTGGCATTTAGCTGCTGAGTAGGTTCAAACCACAACACCCCTGTGACCCCTGTGACCATGACCCCTGTGACCTTGACCCCATGACTGCTGTGACCCTAACCCCTGTGACCCCCGTGACCCTGACCCCCATGACCTTGACCCCAGGATCCCCATGACTCTGACCCCTATGCCCTTGACCCCTGTGACCCCCATGACCCCTGACCCCCATGACCTTGTCCCCTGACCCCAGCACTGGTGGTTCAAGCACTGGCCCAGAGTGAGGTTGGGCCCTTCCTGGCCTTTGAGATCGAAATCCTGGAGGTTCTACTGGGAGGTGGGACTGGGGGGACTGGGAGGGACTGGGAGGTGCTCAGGGGGAAACTGGGGGTGGGGGTTGAGAGGACTGGGGGAAGAATGGGGGCATTGGGAGGGACTGGGTGGACTGAGAAAGGAGACTGGGGGGATTGTGAGGGAGTGGGAGTGGAAACTGGGTGGACTGGGATGGAAACTGGGGAGACTGGGAGGACTGGAGGGGCACACTGGGAGAGGGTGAGAGGACTGGGAGAGGAGCCTGGGGGCACTGGGAGGGGCTGAAGGGCCACTAGAGGGCGCTGTGGGACAATACTGGTCTATATTGGGATGTACAGAGAGGTGCTGGTGGAGCACTGGAGGGGCATAAGAGCACCATGGGGGTCCCTGGGCCATACTGGGAGGGGGGTTGGGCCATACTAGGGGGAACTGGGATATGCTGGACCATACTGGGGTGAAGCTAGAGGGGGCCCTGAGTTATACTGGGGAGCACTGGGATGTACTGGGCCATACTGGGGTGGCACAGTGGGGACCCTGAGTCACACTGGGAGAGCCTGAGACTGAACTGGGCCGGACTGGGAAAGCTGGGGGGTGTGTGTGTGGGGGTGTGAGCTGCGCTGGAGGCGTTACTGGTGTGTACTGGTTGTTACTGGTGCTGACTGGTCCCAACTGGGCGGCAGAGGTGGCCCCGGGGGGCGTGGCCAGGTGCTAGGGCGGGGCAGCTGCCCGCTGAGGGTCCGCCCCCCTCAGAGGATCCTGCTGATGGGGCGGGGATGGACACCAATGGATGGTGAGAAGGGACCCAAATGTCCCCAAAGGTCCCCGAAGGTCCCCATGTCCCCCCCATCCCCATGTCCCCAAGTGTCCCCCGTGTCCCCCCATGTCCTGAAAAGTCCTCAAGTATCCCCAAATGCCCCCCATGTCCCCAACTGTCCTCAATTGTCCCCAAATGTCCCCATGTGCCACATGACCCCAAGTGTCCCCAAATATCCCTCATGTCCCCCATGTTCCCCCATGTCCTCAGCTGTCCCCAAATAACCCCGTGTCCCCAAATGTCCCCCATGTCCCCCATGTCCCCATGTCCCCCCATTTCCCCAACTGTCCCCCATGTCCCCCCATGTCCCCATGTCCCCCCATTTCCCCAACTGTCCCCCATGTCCCCCTGTCCCCCCAAATATCCCCAAATATCCCCAAATGTCCCTCATGTCCACCCATGTCCCCAAATATCCCCAAATGTCCCCCATGTGTCTTCATGTGTCCCCATGTCCTCAACTGTCCCCAAGTCTCCCCAAATGTCCCCCCATGTCCCCCATATTCCCAAGTGTCCCCAAATGTCCCCAAATGTCCCCTGTGTCCCCATGTCCCCAAATGTCCCCCATGTGTCCCTCATGTCCCCCCCGTCATCAACTGTCCCCAAATGTCCCCCAATGTCCCTGTGTCCCCAAGTGTCCCCAACTGACCCCAACTGTCCCCCCGTGTCCCCCCGTCCCCGTGTCACCGTCCCCCCCAGCCCCCAGTTCCTGCTGGGTCCCCACCCCTGGGTGGAGGAGGTGCCGCCCCGCCCCCGCTGCGCCCCAGCCACGCCCTGCCGCCCCCTGCTGGACTTCCTGCACACCCTGCGCCCCCTCGGCTGCCCCGCCTGACCCCGCCACCGGGAGCCACTGGGAACATACCACGAGCCACTGGGACCACGCTGGGGGGGCCAACTGGGAGCCACTGGGAGCAACTGGGACCATGCTGGAAGAAACTGGGACCATACTGGGAGGAAGTGGGATTATGGGGAGGGGGGGTAACTGGGACCATGCTGGTGCAACTGGGAGTTACTGGGAGCAAGTAGTACCACACTGGAAGTGACTTGGACCATACTGGGGGGAAGTGAGATCATGCTGGGGGGCAACTGGGAGTGACTGGGAGTGTGCTGGGGGCGCACTAGGAGCAACTGGTATCAGACTGGGAGGAACTGGGAGCAGTGTGGACCAAACTGGAAGCAACTGGGAGTGACTGGAGGTGCCTGTGACCGTGCTGGGGGAGACTGGGATATACTGGGAGAAACTGGAACTATGCTGTGGGCAACTGAGTTCATACTGGGAGCCACTGGGAGCACACTGGGAGGAACTGGGACCATGCTGGGGGTAACTGGGATCATACTGGGAGCCCCTGGGATCATACCGGGAGCACACTGCGGGTGAACGGGAGTGACTGGGAGAAAGTGGGATCACCCTGAGGGTGACTGGGAGTGAGTGGGAACATGCTGGGGGCAACTGGGATATACTGGGAAGTACCCAGTGGGTGACTGGGATCATACTGGGAGTGACTGGGAGCATGTTGGGGGCAACTGGCAGCATGCTGGGGGCAACTGGAAGCAACTGGGAATGTGCTGGGGGGCATATTGGGATCACACTGAGAGAAACTGGGAATACACTGAGGGCAACTGGGATCATATTGGGAATATACAGGGGATATAATAGGAGTGACTGGGATCGTACTGGAGGTGACTGGGAGCAACTGGGAGTGATTAGGAACATGTTGGGTGAGACTGGGATCACACTGGGAGCAACTGGGACTATACTGTGGGCAACTGAGGTCATACTGGGAGCAACTGGAATCATACTGGTAGGGATGGAAGCAACTGGGACCACGCTGAGAGCAAATGGGATCATACTGGGAGCAGCTGGGCTCATGCTGGGAGCAACTGGGGGTGACTGGGATCATACTGGGAGTGACTGGGACTATGCTGTGAGCATCTGGGGTCATGGTGGGGGCAACTGGGAACGACTGGGAGTGATTTGGAACATGCTGAGGGCAACTGGGATATACTGGGAGCAACTGGAACTACATTACAGGCAATTGGGATCATACTGAGAGCAATGAGAATCGTACTGGTAAGTAATGGGAGTGACTGAGGTCATGTTGGAGGCAACTGGGATATAGTGGGAACAACTGGGACCGTGCTGGGGGCAACTGGGAGTGACTAGGCTCACTCTGGGGGCAACTGGGATCATAGTGGGTTGACAGGAAGCATGCTGGGGGCAACTGGGAGTGATTAGGAGCATGCTGGGGGCAACTGGGATCACACGGGGAGCAGCTGGGCTCATGCTAGGGTCAACTGGAAGTGACTGGAACCATACCGGGAGTGACTGGGATCATATTGGGAGTGACTGGGAGTGACTAGGAGCACACTGGGGGCAACTGGAACTGGTGTGGGCAACTGAGATCATACTGGGAGCAACTGGAGTAATATTTAGAGGGACTGGGAATGACTGGGAGCATGCTAGGAGTAACTGGGAGTGTTTGAGGGCATGCTGAGGGCAACTGGGATATACTGGGAGCAACTGGAACTACGCTATGGGCAACTGGGATCATACTGGGAGTGACTTGAATCATACTGAGAGTGACTTGAATCATACTGGGAGTGACTGGAACCATGTTGGGTGTGACTGGGAGCAACTGTGGTGATGGTAGGGGCAAATGGGAGTGACTGGGAGTGACTGGGAGCATGTTGGAGGCAGCTGGGACCATACTGGGAGTGACTGGGATCATGCTGGAAGTGGGATCATACTGGGAGGGATTGGGAGTATGCTGGGGGAAACTGGGATCATACTGTGAATATACAAGGGTCAACCTAGGAGTGACTGGGATCATACTGGGGGTGACTGGGAGAAACTGGGAATGATTAGGAGCATGTTGGGTGTAACTGAGATCATACTGGTTGTGACTGGGACTATGCTGTGGGCAACTGGGGTCATACTTGAAACAACTGAAGTCATACTGTGAGGGACTGGGAGCACGCTGGGGGCAGCTGGGATCATATTGGGAGCAACGGGAATCATATTGGGGACAACTGGGAGGGACTGGAAATGGCTGGGAGCATGCTGGGGGTGACTGGTATGTACTGGGAGCAACTGGAACTACTCTGGGAGCAACTGGGATCATACTGGGAGCAACTGGAATCATACTGGAAGTAGCTGGGACCATTCTGGGAGCAACTGGGAGTGATTGGGGGGCATGCTGGGGCAACTGGGATATACTAGGAGCAACTGGAACTGCGCTATGGGCAACTGAGATCATGCTGGGGCAACTGAAATCATACTGGGAGTGAGTGGAAGTGCTTAGGAGCATGTTAGGTGTAACTGGAATCATATTGGGAGCAACTGGGACTATGCTGGGGGCAACTGTGGTCACACTGGGAGCAGCTGGGCTCATGCTGGGAGCAACTGGAATTACATGGAACCAGACTGGGGGGAACTGGGATCACACTGAGGGAACTGGGAGCGACTAGGAGCACACTGGGGGCAACTGGGATACAGTGGGAGGAGCTGGGAGCACACTGCTGGCTGCCAGGATCGTACTGGGAGTGACTGGGAGCAACTGGGGTCACACTGGGGGCAAGTAGGAGTGACTGGAAGCACGCTAGGGGTGACTGAGAGCAACTGGGGTCACACCGGGAGCAACTGGGAGTGAGCAGGACCATGCTGGGAGCAACTGGGAGTGACTGGGGAAGAGTGAGTCCATTCAGGAGGTGACTGGGATCGTACTGGGAGCAAGTGGGACCACAGCGGGGGCAAACAGATGCGGCTGGGGAATCACACTGGTAATGACTGGGAGCATGTTGGGTGTAACTGGGGTCATACTGGGAACAAGTGCCTCCCCCCTTCCCCCGGGAAACGCTGAGCCAGCGCTCACCGTGGTGGGGGCGCGGATATGCAAATTTATGCTAATGTCCCCTCTGTCTCTTCCCGCTCCGCGGCCGCCGAGTCACCATCGAGACGCGGCCTCCGACAGCGCAGAACGGCCGAGCGGCCGCCTATTGGTCGGGCCGTGGGAGCGGCGGGCGGAAGTGGCGTCAGGGGCCGGGAAGTTTGAATCCATCCGAGCGGCAGCGACAGGTTTAGGGGGAGGCTCGGGGGGGGGGCTCGGCCGTGACGTCACGGCGCGGGGATGTCATAGAGGGGGCAGGAAGGGGGAGCGGTGGGGAGTGACGTAGGCTGGGGGGGGGGGGGCTTA